ATGTATGAGGTTTATAAATATAAAGAATAAAAGGAAAGACTTGGGTATTATCAAAAATCAGCAAAAATAAAAAATGCAAACAGAACTTAAAGCATCGGTTATTGTAATGATGATAGAATTGGGAATGCAATGAACATAGAAAATGATTTAGAGTAATATGTAGTAAAGAGAAAAAGAATAATAAAGAGATAAATGAAAGAATAAGCTATACAAAAGAAGCAAAACTGACAAACATATCTAAAAATTCTGACAAAGAAAGAACTACAAACAACGAAAGTGAGATATTTAAAAGTTATCAAAGACCTATGGGCGTATATGATGTTAGTGAAGTATATAAAGTTGGACATTGTTATAAAAGAGAGAACAGAGTCTAAAGGAGTGATAAAAGGGCACTTATTTGTTAATAGAAATTTACTGAGGCAGATGAAGTTAAAAGGAAAGAGAACAAAGCATTCGGCTATAGTCAAAAATTAGCAGTATTGAATAATGCTAATATAAATGATGCTAATTACATACTAGAAAGATAATAATTAGATACTTGTCTGATACTTTAACTATAATGAAGATGGTGATACAAATGAATATAGTAATTATGAAGAGGATTCGAAGTCAGCTGAAGGCTACAATTCGACGAGACAAAATGACTTTAGAACATGTTGTGATATAAACGTCAATAGCTTTAAATATCAAAAGAATTCGTTTGCGTGGTGTTTGGAACCTGATGAAAATGGAAAAGTTAAAAACACTAGTTTGGATAATAGAGGAGAAGTCTATTCGAAGAGTGATGTTGCTAGAACAATTGATATTGGAAGTTGTTATCAAAATGAGGAAACATATAAAATAAATAATTGAGAACCTGAATACTCACCTGATCTGGATAATAAAAGGTCCAAGAAAGTAGATTTGTTGATGGATTTAAGAATAAAGCTAGTGAAGACGAAATGATAGTGTTAATAGAAACTCTATTAGATGTAGTAACAAAATAGATATGATAATGAAATACCTTGTAGAAACATTAAGAAAAAGGGAAAATTTGAATGGTGCTAAAGAGCTTGTAGCTAATAATGATAAGGGTAAGCTAAAGATAGTAGAATATATGATAAATATTTAAAAGATGTTAGATATAACAATTTGAATAAATGATGGAATCTTGGATTTTGTTATGAAAATAGAATTAAGAATTTGAAATACCATAAAGAGACTCTGGATCAGTTAAATATAAAGAGAATATTTTATAATATGATACTAGTGAACAATAGAAGAAAGGATTTAGCTAGAGAATAAAAAACAAACTACAGGATTATTATAATATTTGGTATAAATACGGTTATAAACCGAAAGATTAATTGGAATCAGATTGTATCATATAGAGTGAAAAGATCAATGTTCTTAAGGAGCCATTCCCGGCTTCCTATACTATTCCTGGTACCAACCTAAAAAACAAACATTAGTAAAAGAACAAAAAAAAAGAAACAAGATGAAAAACAAAGCTGGTAATTAACTTTTGTACTAGTTCTGGGTTCAAGATCTTCAGTTTTAGGTTCAAGATCTTTATTCCTAGCTTCTTATACTACCAACCTGCAAAAAAAAAACGTTAGTAGAAAAAAAAAAAAATACAGATGAAAAACAAAGCTTGACGAAGTCAAACTTCAGATCAAAGTTCAATAAATGATAAATATTTATAATTAAAATAAAGTTTTAATATTTAAAAAACTGATTATCTTGTATTGCAATAGAAAATCAGAAAATCACTTATAGTTAAAGATATCAAAGATATATAACGATTAATAGCAATTAATTGTTTTGTAATGATTTGAAAAACTCAATAATAATCGATTAGTATATAATGATTTATATCTATTTTTTGATGTTTATCGATTTTAAATATATATCGATTTGCAACCAGTTTATCGATATATATTGTTATTTATAAATCGATATAAAATGATTAAATGCTATATATCGATTACTTTCTATAAAAAAAATTTCCTGATGAAAACAGTGGCAGAACATGCCAAAATAAAAAATAAAAAAAATAAATATGATTTTGTTTTTTACTTTTTATTGATGCTAACAGAAAAAAATTAATTTTTTTTGTATAAGAACTTTTGTCAATTACAAACCGATCGATCAACTATAGATGATTTTTCTAAGAACTTCAAGAATTTATAGGAAAGAGTTCTATAAAAAAAATAGTGATCAAATATTATACCGTATAGGCTATAGCTTATAATTGGTTTTATGATTAGCTCTTTTTAAGTTCAAGCTCTGATTGTCAAGTAAATCTTTACAGTATTGTCTTCATCTCTTCTGGCACATTTTGATAATAAATTATATGCTAAAGTTCTAAACAATAGAGATAATTTTTGTTATAGATGAGGACAACTTTAGGACATTATAATAGTATATTAAAGTGAAAGTACAAATCGCATTTTCAAGTTATAGATGAGAACAACTTTAGGACATTATAATAGTATATTAAAGTGAAAGTACAAATCGCATTTTCAAGTTATATAAGCTAATGTAATAATATTTAATTTATTTTAAAACTGTTTAAGTTTATTTAGAATGATAGATTTATAATTTTTATTGCAAGTAATATTCTTGTTCATAATTATAATTTTGTATATTTGTACTGTTCAATTGAATATTATCACATTTTTGTTTTTTTTAAAAGGTTTTTTGTTTTTTTTTTTGTAAATCGATTTACAACTATATTTCATATTCTTTGTCCAGTTGTTATACGTTTTTCAGATTTTTTAATGTCTTGCTTATATAATATAAATAGCTAATTTTTTCTAATTTTATAGCATTCAAAAAGTTTCTGAAATCTACTAGCAGTATTTTGAGTAGTATCTCAAATAAATCATCTTGAGATGGATTAGGACTATTAAATGCTTTATAAAGTAAGTTTGCAAGTTTCTAAAGTACATCTTTTCAGGAGTTAATATTTCTTTTAGTTGTTAAAAAAAATTATTACCAAGATATTCTTATAACAGCAAATTTATTTTAGCTTGAGTTGCTATAATTCTTTCTTTTAAGTCATCACAATTTTCAAAAACTTTTTCTATAATTTGTTTAACAAATTTTACACTGAATCATTCTAAAGCTTTGTCATTTGCAAAATAATGACCTGGTTGAATTAAGTTAACTAATAGTGTATATTTTATCAAGGTTTGTAATAATAGATTATTTTGTATATAAGAAAGATAATATATTACTGATTCTGCATAAATTGACATCTAGCAATTGAAAATAATGATACAAATACAATAAGATTTTCAAGTTGTATTTCAAATTTCTATTATGTATTTCTAAACAATGATCTAACCAAAATAATGTCTATTTATAAAATAGATACCAAATA